GTCTTGACCGTCCTGGCTGTAACATTGCGTGTGGTGCATGCACAATTTAAATATGAGTTACATTTGACGTGCTGGTCAATATCACCGTTTCTTGAATATGTAGAACATATGTTCTGCACGTGGTATACAATCTGTGAACATAAACCTCGAATTTGCGAATTTCGAGCACGCCATTCCTGCTGGCTTGGCTTTACGCTCTGATGTACATTGGTTTACGCACATGCTTTCCAGTAAGACGTCGGAAATGTCTCCTGGCAGTGCTCAGTTGTTAGCATGCTTACATAAACGAACCATTAAACTTTAAATCAATGTTCAAACCAGCAGTGCTATCTTTCGAGAGTGAATTCGTAACCAGAAAACTTTTGTAGAATTTGTTCACTCTGCAAAGTGAAATGGTTGGCTGTGGGATAATCAAGGTGTCTTTCCCTGGCTGATTTGCATTCTCAGACAGGTTTAAACTGACACTTATCACAATCGTCGTTAATATTTGAAGCTACTGTTAAATATACTTTGAAATTTGTAGATACGACAACCAGCAAGTGTTCATTTAATGGAAATTAGTTCGTATTTCGTTCCCCATTACACTCAAAGGTCAAACTGAATGATTGTTTTTCGACACATGAGACGAGGTAAATATACTTAACATTTTCCGCAAGTTCTGAGGTTATCGTTTTAGACATCTCGGAATATTGTTTGTGCTGTTTCTCAGTCATATTTTTCGAGTATACGCAGAAAAGAGCTGCTGCTACTGCTTCTGTCACGTTCTGTCGTTGCTGAAGCGAAGATTCAGAAACAGAGTATGCGAGCCATGGCGCCAAGTACTAATATAATTAAATACAGTCGGTGTAGTCTTCGGGGAAGAAAATCAAAGAAACCTTATAAGAACACTGAAAAGCGCTTGTTTGACCTTCGCTCAGATATTTGCACCAAACATGTCTTTGATTGAGTGCCTGTTTTTAGAGCTAAAGTTCACGTTTCAACTGCCACGTCATCGAGATGCAAAAAATCCAAGGCCGGAAGAAAATTTCTTTGACTATTGAAGATAAACGCAAGGTTTCACGGAGATTTCCAGTATGTGATGGGTCGTGAGACTTGGGTTTAAATCGTTTTAATCGCATTGCATTTAATTGCTCTCGTGATCTTCACCAATACTTCGTCATAAACATCTGTTTACAGTGATTCTTATCCATCTTTATTCAGTCAGCTTATTCTGCCATCGATTTCGAGGTCTTCGCACTTGACGGTGACTCTCTCTTGGAACTCGAGCTAATGCAATTGTGGTGTAGCGATGGTCGGTTGATTCTGCTGCGTTTTTTGCCCTGTGCCATTTCAACTTTTTCACTCAGAAAGTGACGTCGCAGATTACTGCTTATGCTCTTACCCATTCGCTCATCTTCCAGTATCTTGTTATTCTCAACATAGTCATTTCATCCTATTCGCCTATGTCGTGTAATCTGCAGTTTGTAAGTATATTTGAGGTTTAATGTCCACGTTTCGTAATCACAGGCCTAGCATTGCGTTGTCACTGATCGGTAGCCATCCGATTCAAGGACAAGGGAGATCAACTGTCTAAAATAGACTGTCTTAGGTTCTTCAGGACTGACTGTATTGATTTCAGTTGGTCGCGGGAGTCACATTTATTTTATATGACATTAGTCATTCTTCAGGTTCATTTTCTGTCCTCTGATGCTGCTGCTGTTCACCACTTGGACTTTCTCTCCTGAAGTTCTTTACAGTAAGAATAAGAGGATTAGAATATCGTTTACAAACCGCAGGTGGCACGGTTATTGTACATATCATCTGAACTTTATTTTCTCAACAAAGCGTCTTGAAAACTTCTTTAGGGCTTCAAGAATAACCTCAGTGATATTGCGTCGCCTTGTAGGAACGAATCAGTGCATGCAGGTCTCTGCAAAGCTGATCCATCTGACTTGAGATAGTACGTACGTTTTAAGGTACTGTTGTGTTCCACTGGCAGAGGTTTCGCTTCCAGAATAAGAAACGGTCACAGAGTTTTATTCGGGAACTTTAGTTTGTGTAAGCTCCTCCATCCAGGTATTCTTAAATAGTTTTGAAGAATTTTAAACTCTTTTGAACCTCATCCGTGGAATCTAGATTAAAAGAGATGTATTTTTTTGGATCAGGTTTTTCAGTGGAATGCGCAGCCAGTGGGGCACGCGACCCTTCAGCTCCGTCACTGCAGCCGATGCTACCTTTTGAGAGCTAGGCAACAGCAGATTAAATTCTAGGCTATCCAAAAGGATAGCACGGTCATTGTGAGTCCTGGGATACCTACTCTCCCATTTGTCGTATACGAGTTACATAATGCCTTGGACGGGACATGTAGACATTGCCTGACGAGATCCCTAATGGAATCGTCGTCATGAACCATTGCGTCCTTACTGTTATCTCAGTGCATGTTCCTGAACGTATAGATAAGTTCAGAGTGAGTAAATATATATGCACTAATAGTCTATATATATACACTAATAGTCAGAGAGTTGGTACCTAAATATTCTCCGTGCATTTTCGCCTGGGAATGTTTGTGTTGATATGAAGTACCCGTAGTTTTGTACCAAGGTATGGAAAAACCTTAGATTTGGCTGGGATGGGGTAGGGGTATTAGAAATTGCAATTTTTCTCAAAGAATCAAAATCCTTTTTTAAACTCGGAATACGAAGAACTTTACTTTGGTCATGCCAAAGCTCCTCATTGTTTTGTT